CTGTCTACCATTCTGTCTAATTTATGTCAGCAGCACTTTAGCATTTTCCCTAAACATAAAAGACTCCCCTTTTTGTGCTTTATGTGCAAGTTTCTATGGCAAATAAACATGAGGAACTCAACAGTTGCATATTTCGGAGCCACTCGCAGCTCATGTTATATTTACATATGTAGCTGGAGTTCTGGAGATTATGGAATAGAGATGGGCGCCTGTCGGATTTTGTAAATTGGCAGAGATATTAAAGGCACGCACGAACAAGAATCACGAAATTTGTGTTGATTAAAAGTTTTCGTAATCCAGTCTATAGGATATGCTTTGCTAGGGATTTGTAATATCATATCCATAGCAAAAACTGCAAGGTATACCCAATATTCTTGCGCACGACTGTAGATTATGGCTTTAAGAAATTGCACCAATTAATGTACTTTCGTAAATGCTTGTGTTCCTGTTTCTCATTTTGTACAGCACGAAGCACGCACCCTACACTACTCTAAAAAAGAGTCTAACAATAAAGCACAAACAGGAAATGTTCCTTTGAAGCACAGGACTGGACATTAGAGTGGCACTCAGAGTAAATTTAACTGCTGCCTTTGCTGTATTCAATTTAATCAAATTCAGTTTAGTTATTGTACTGCAGTCAACTAAAAGAACGTGCCAGAGCTTTAATTTCGAGCTTGAAATGCATTTAATAACTGCAGAACAACAACAGTAATTGCAAGAACAGCAGCAACAACAGCAATAATTTATGCATGCCTGACATTCTGCACATTACTCTTACATCCTGGCGGGCCCCCGCAGGCTATTGGGCGTGTATATGGCATGGACACAGAGCCATCGAGCCACCGAGCCAGCGAGCCACTGAGCACATGGAAGCCAAAGGCAAATCCAGTCCAGCACCGGAACCAAGCAGATCGGACAGTTTGATTTGCATTTGTAATTTTGATATTGGGGGCAACAGCTTGACGCTTTAAATGCGTCCAGAACCGGGCTGTCTTAAAGCCCTGTCAAACTGACTAACAACCAGTTAAGCCACTCAAAATGTGCCAGCATTTAGGCGCCCTGGCATTTCCATTAGTTATCTAAGCACAATTTGTGACCATTCTGGGCTCGGCGCAGCCAAACATTTATCTTCATTTTGTTCCAGAGCACAAAAACAAAGGCCAACAAGTTGGCAAAAGGCAGCTTCACGAACTGTAACTGAAATGGAAACTGGAAACTGGAATTACCAAAAGGGCTATACACTGATTGCCATGTTTAGTCAACCAAATGTGGCCCCTAGCTGCGCTGTCTCTCTCTCCTTATATCCATACAATAGCTATTCCACATTTAAAAGTTAACCAAAGCTAACATATAACAATAACAATAGAGGCCAAGTTGATTACCTTTCATGCTGCTGTTGTTGTTGTTGTTGATGGTTTAAACAAGTAGACACTTAACAACTCAGCTGTCCTCGGTCGCTGTTGACACCCTTTGAGGTGGGCTCTGCCCCAATCACACAAGCTGCCAACTCTTGTTAGGCCAACTGTGTCTACAACAATGTCTACGTCCTGGCTTTGAGCACATTTTCCAAATTAACCTGCCCTGTTTCACCCGCCGTTGTCGCTTTCCTAGATGCCAACGCGTTAATTTAAGCGACTTTCGTGTTTAATAGCTATCTACATATGCCGCTCCCACTCATACTTTGCATGTGTATGTGTGTGTGTGTGTGGGGGGGGGCGTGTTTATAGGCCTATCTATTTGGTGGGTCTACCCACACGGCTGTGTCACGTTCAGAGACACAACATCCGCTGTGACTGGCATGCCAAAAATACTAAATATAATCAAATAGTAACAAACTAGAACGGTTTATTCAAAAGTTAAAGAGTAGCTCAACCAGCAGATACCCTATAGCCGAAAGTGGAGAAAACAAAAATGGATTATCACAATAAAAGAAAACAAAATCCTTGACTATATGATGTTATTTAACTTAGGACTTGTCAGATACACGAAGGCAAAATATGAATTCAGAAACTTTGCTCTGTTCCTCATCGAAAATTTCTCTGGAACTTTAGAGAATACCTTTGCATTTATATGTTACGTACATTTGTTTAACGTCATAATACCCTTCACTGGCAGTTTTATGACTACAGGGCCACAAAAAAAAGAAAACAGTTTCTATGACAGCTTGGCAATGACTTCATTTGGCTTATGGCACACATACACGCAAACACACACGCACACACACACGCACACACACTCATGCGAAAATGCGCGTATCTGTTTGTAAATGTGACAAAAATCAGTTTGTTATTTAAATTCCGGATGCCGTTTCACCAAACCCATGAAAACCGCTTGATATTTACTTTAGAGTATATTTATATAGCTGAATATATAGTTGGTTTTTATTATTCTTGCAATAAACCATCAAATTGAATTGCATTACAGTTGTTTTCGCTGTTTTTGTGCTGTTTACTTAGTACGGCACGTACTCGGGGGCGTATGCTTAATTATTGTTTATTAAATTCGCCTGTGGATGTGCGTGCACAAATGCCGTTGGTGTCAGTTCTCCGTTTGGTTAACCCATCGAGCAACATAAAATTCAGTTACGTTGCGGCTAAGCCAATTTACCGTTGCCCTGATGGCAAATTAAAGTGCAACCGCAGATGCAGATGGAACCGTAATAGCAGCTAGTGCAACTACCACTGCAACAGGGACTGCATTTGATTCCTCGCCCATTTGACTCCATCAAATGGACTAAATGCATGTGCCCAACTGCTGTTGTCAGCCACCACATAGTTGGCCACAATGGGCAACCACTAGCACCACCACCACACATAAACTGGCATTGTAACCACAGCTGCTTCGGATTCCATTTCGGTTCGCCTTCCGTTTTTTCCTTTTCTGGCTCCCATTTCTGTGCCTGTTTCGGCTCCTTTTGCTGCGTGTCGCCTGTGGCCGTTGTTGCGTGTTGCTGCTGACATTTTGCGGTGCCACTTTCCAAAATGACATTGCCACTTTTCCAGCCAAGCTGATAATGATGATGACAGAACATTTGCCAAATCAATTTGGGCAGCGAGCGCGCGCGCATGTTCGTGGGCGTGGCTATTGGCCACATAAGCGTTAATGTCAATAAAAAAAAAACAACCATCGAATTTGCAGCACGAAAATAGGATTGCGAATGGGGTATTAAACTGAATCCAGCTACATAGAACCGCACCATTTAACCAGATTGTAAATAACTTTAATTGAATTAAGTGCAGTCAGTTATGTGTGTGACAGTGGAACTAGCAACTAAAGCGAAACTTAAATGGAAAATACACAAGAACAGTTGGAATGAAAATAAGGAAAAAGTTACTTAGATGATGCTTTCAGATACCTAGAAACTTTTTATGTTCCCAATGGAGAGATCCCTTTCCGGTAGAATTTTGCGGGGATGTCACAAATTTAACAGACAGAAAACTAGCTTAAGCTCTTATAACTTATCAAGTGAATTAAGCATTAAAATCGGGTTAGTTGTGCTGGAGTAATGACAGTAGTCTGAAAGGAACTTTACTTGGCAAAATATTTTCCAATTTATAGCTGATTTTTTACAGAAGATTTAATTAAACACAGCTGAATCGCCTAAAATTTGCTTAACACCCTCAATCGAGTAAAAATATATGCTGCATGCTTTCAGGGGCTGCTTTAAAATGAACTTCGCCTCGCCGCCATTTTGTTTGCGCTGGGCTGCGACGTTAATTAAGCGCCACGCAGAAACTCATCAACGCATTAACCATGACGTCAGCGGGTGCCTTGCTGCAGAGCTCCAAATGTTAGTGCATTCCACTTTGATTACGCGTATTTGCATGCTGCGCTGGGCCCGGCCCCTCCCGGACCACCAATGGTCACACAATCTGGGTGCGCAAATATTTGTTGTGTATAAAGCACACAAGACGCCATACGGATACCTTCTGTGCTTGGCGGAAGTTATGGCTGTTCGATATTCATATCGATTTCATGAGTATTCAATTAAAAATAAAACAAAAGCTGCATTATGCGTTATTTACGCATGGTTTAAGAGGTTTTTTTTTAGCTATAGCTGAGTGTAAATTTAAGTGAAACTCATGTCGACATTTAAACGCATCGTAATTTCTGCTGACAACTGACCCAGCAAGCATTTTCATAATAAATTTATAACGAATGTCACGGTCTGTTATAATTAATGTGGCCCATTTGTTTGGACGGACATTAAAGCGGCTATTTAAGAAACTGAATGCCAATTGAACGCACACACGACGCCCAGGCGACGACAACCGCAAAGAGATGACGGCGAGCAGGAGCATGAAATATGATGGAACTGACTGGGCGACAGTGTAACCAAGTGGCGGCATAATAGTTTGATTTACTGACTGTCCTGGCGGCGGGCAATCGCAGTAAAAACCTGGAAGAGGGCACAGAGACATCGCGTAGGTACAATTGTCATCCTGTGGCAATAAAGATTGCATCTTACTAAATAATCTTGTGTAATGTTCATGCTGTTTTTAGTCACGTAAACAAGTACGTGGCAGTAATTAGTTTTCCTGGCATTGGAAATCTAAAAATATATTATCGATCCAATTTGTAAGACATAACCGCTATCAGGTTTCAATAAAATGGTCAAAGCTGTGATGATATTCGCAAAAATAAACAGTTTCTTAGATTCGTAAGTTAATGTAACATCTAAATTTGTTTAATTTGTAAACTTCCATATAAATATCAATGGCAGCATCGAACTGCAATACACCCAATAAATAATAATTGAGTAAGGACTTTGCAAGAAAGTGTGGTATAGACACATTTGCCCATTTTTACAGCTAAGAGAAATGTCCGACAAAACGACAATTCACACGTCCAAGGTCTAAAGCTTACGCTCGAGTACTTTTGCCTTCAGGACTTTATGACGTGACAAAATCAAATGCCGAAAATCATAAAGCCATAAAATCGCACAATAGGCGAGTAGTTAAAGTCTTAAATCTTTACGGGCAATAAATTTTCACACATGATTTTACATTAAAAAGTTCCGATTCGTTTTTTACTGCTTTAAATGCAATTGAAAATTGCAAATACGCTTAAATTACACAATTGGCAACTATGTTGACGCAGTTGGCAATTAACAGTTACAATTTCCATTTGTTATGTCTTGCATTTATTTATAAGAAGAAGAAATATGTTGGCCTGCATATTCATTGACGTAGCAGTCGCATCTTTCATATATGTTTGCACTCACTTGATTGAATGTAGATTTGTTTGTGGCTGTGGGTGGTATGAATGCGATGTGTTTGTGTATGTGTGTGTGTGTTGGTGTGTGAGCGCGCGTGTTTATGTGCGTGTGTGTATGTGGCATTATTGTGTAGTCTCAATTATGATCTCGTGCGTATCCAGATCGGGCACCGAAAACTTCATCGGCAAGTAGTCATCCGCATGCATATGCGACATTTGATTAACCTCTAGCTGGGTGCGTTCATGTTCCTCATGGCACTTGCCCTCATGCTTCTCGTAATCGCCAAACGTTTCAAAAATGGCACGACAGATCATGCACTCAAAGAAGCTACTGCAAAGATTAGGGAAGCGGGAAGTTAGGCAACCGATGCAGTGGTCAAAGAGAAGCTGGTCTTACGGTTTCTGCTCGGCCTCTAGACGCTCCCTCGCCAAAGCCGTAGCCGCCTGTATTGCACCGGGCACATCCACATCGACTCCTTCCTTTATGTGTGACTGCAGATGCCGCTTAAAATTGGAGAGCTGGGTGAAGCCTTTTTCGCAGTAGTTGCACTGATAAGGCTTGGCATTCAAATGACCCAGCTTGTGCTTCTTGAGGTTAACCAGTTGCGAGAAGTAGCGGCCACATCGCTGGCATCGAAACGGCTTCTCTCCTGTGTGTGTCATTTTGTGGCGCTTCATATTGCTTTGCTGGGTGAAGGATTTGTTGCAGAAGTTGCACTGATATGGACGCTCGCCGCTGTGTACGGCATAATGTCGCTGCAGGTTAACCGCCTGTGCAAAGGCCTTGGAGCATATGTTGCACACAAACGGCCGCACATCGTTGTGCACCTTCATATGCCGATCCAGATTGCCACTGTTGCAAAAACTCTTGGAGCACAGTTTGCACTCATAGGTAGTTTTGTTATGGTTGTGCACCTCCTGCCGATGGAGCGTCTGATCGCGTTTACTTGTAAACATCTGCGGGCAATATGAAATATTTGTAAATAAGATATTAATTCGCCAAGGCGAGTGAAACTTACTCGGTCGCAACGTTTGCAGCTAAACTGATTGACCACAATCTTATCGAATTCCACCGGGATGCCCGCCATTTTTGACGCTGCTACAACATCGGTCCGATGCGGTTTTATATCCTGAATCGTACTTATTGGAAATAACAGATCCATATAGTGTACAAGTGCACTAAAACTTACTTTGAATTGCCTAATTTCTATATAATTTTTTCGCGTCTTGTAAAAAAGTCATATGGTAGTAGAGATGTGAGCTAGATATCAATATATCGTTTTATCTGCATAGTGCACACGGATTGCCATGGATTATATATCGATATCGTGCGATTAATCGACTGAAACAATTCAAGGTAATATTATTGTTTCATGAATAAATAGGTTTGTTTTTTCAGTTGATTAATACTTCAAATAATGACTTATATTGAATGAAACAATAAAAACTTGTAGTTCAAAACAATTTAGGAATTTGTGATTATTTTGACATAACTGAACTATCGTATTTACAAAAATGTGACTATCGTTTGCTTCAAAAATCCACGTCTTGAGATTCAAAGAAGAAGCATACATGTTTGCCGCCATCCTCAAATTTCAAAATTCCTCACAATCAACAATTTTTAAGACTTCACAAATACTTATAATATATCTGCAATACAATGCTATACAGTTTAATAATTCCATTTACGTTATGCTTGACAGTGATGTAACCCATCGATAGGTGTGTGGCGTAACCTTCACACGTTCATGACAAATAACTTTTTACTCATGCAACACGATTCGTTTTATAGAAACAATTGATTTTATTAGTTATTATCAGCAACTTATGCCATTCTAAGTATTGTATTTGTTTGTTTTCCTGCTCTAGAGTTGTGACGGTAACAAAAAAGTAATAGATAAGTTTATGCAACAGCTGTTCTGTTACGACTCGGTTAGTTAGCAGATGTTAAAATCAATTTCCAATCATATTTACCGTTTTCTCTCAAAAGTGACGCTGGATTGAAAAATTGTCTTGCATCAAATCACTATTTGAATAATTTTCTATATAATTGCATTTACCAAGTCTATGTTATATAACTCATTAACGAATAACGCCAGCTTTTCCAGGAAAATTAGTTTGCTCTGTTAATAGCATTTAAGCAAATGTTCAAGTTTTAGGGTGCCCACATATGTATTTTAGTGTTGATTTGGAGCTAAAAGTCAAGAAGAAGCATAATTAAGAAGGAACACAACTCCTGGCACACACAAATGCAGAGATAACTAAGAATTTGTATTGTTTTGTGAGTAAGAGACGTACCAAGTGCAATGGCCACCTATTCCAACCAGCACTGGCTTCTCTCGCACATACGCAACTCGTTCATCTCCACAGATGACACGGGCATATGCGAGACCGTAATGCTGAGCGACGATATGCCGAAGCATTATCTGAGGAAATTTCAAGCAGCCACAATTATAGATGTCTATAGGCGTAGCCACCGGAGCCAGGCATCACAGCAGCGCAAGTCGATGCCCAAAACTCCAGATACTGCCACGCCTACGCAACGGTCTACGCCACTGCAGCACATGATGCCACCCAGGATCGCGGATCCGCCGCTGCAGGAAGTAGACTTTGTATGCTATCCTGGTCTAGATTTGAGCGATGATGAGGATCTGGACATGTCCACGCACTCGTTCGACATTCAAATGTATCCCGAAGTGGGCGCCCATCGATTTCGCTCAAACACAGCACAGAAACTGGAGAAACTGGACATAGCGAAGCGCAAGGCGGCGCGCATTAAAAGCGTTAACTACAATGAGGAGGTGCTGCCACCGGACCGCAAGGATTTCTTCAAGCGCAAAGTGGTTAAAGAGCAACCCACAGAAAAACCCTCCACTTCAAAAACAACTGCAACAAATGTGAAGCGCCTGGAAAAAACCAGTGATGACGACCTATCCGATGAGGGTGTAAAGAGCATGCTGACGGAACAGCTAGCCAAAAGCCCCAAGCAGACCCAAAATCGTTTCATTGAATACGCACGCTTTGATGGCACCGCCCAGGTGGGCATGCCCACAAAGCGCATCAATGTCTATGTAAATATGCTGCCCGAGCCGGAGCGCAATTATCCGCTCAAAATTTGTGTACTCTCCACGGCCAAGATCGTTGAAGTGATTGGCCTGGTCTGCTACAAAACTACCCTACAGTATCCAGATGCAGTGCAGCTCAAGTCTGTGCAGCACTATGCATTATATATGACGGAGGATAACGATGACATGGATGATTTTCCGCCGCTGGACAATCGGGAGCCTTGTTCCAAATTTGGATTCTCGCATTTGACGTTGGCCGAACGCCGACCGCTAGCGCCGGTCACGCGCATTGACTATCACAATCAGTTGGGCACCAAGTCTATGACTTCAGAGGAGGACAAGGTGGCGATGGCGGATGCTGCAGTGCGTGCGGTGCAGAACATCAATTTGAATGGTGATGTACCCGACGCCGGCGGGGGAGATGGAGGCGGTGAAAGCCCCCTAGACCATGTTAAGGAGTATGAGCAACGCCTGCTTAACCACAACGATATGCTGGAAGCGCCAATGCATCGGACCTATCGTGTCAGCATCATCGACAAGCGTTTCTTCAAGTGCGACGTAACGCTGGCCGTTTCCGGGGAACGCATCGAAATAGATCAGCATAAGAATACCAAATTCTGGACGCAAAGAAAGCCGGTGTCTACGCCCATTGACATGGTGGCGCACTGCGAGATTGTAGAGCAACGGCAGCTTAAGGCACTGCTGCGTATTTGGCTGAAATCCAACTCTTCCAGCAGTATGACTACCAGCTGCACTTCGGCACCCAGTACTGCCAGCATTGCTACGCTGATCCCGGGCAGCGGCGGTGCGGGCCTTATCCATTCGCCCGCCAGCCCCCGTCATCAGTCAACGCACAGCTCCAGTTCGCCCTTTGGCCTCTTTGGCAGCGCGTCCAACATTCGATTTAAGCATTACGACTTCGATACGGACGTGCACACGGCCGAGCAGATACGCAACAAACTGAACTGCATTCTGGAGATGCGCGCCAGCGATATACGACGCGAGTTCCTGCAGCAGCGCGAACGAAAACAGGAGAAACAGCTGGCCAAGCGCCAGCTTAAGTTGTAGTATTTTGTTCCTAAGCTGGCCATGCTGCGCCTCGCCTCGAGCTGCTTGTGTGCCGCCTAGCGTGCAGTGGACGTAACTCTGAGGCCATCCTTGCCTGTCGCCGGCTAATCATCTCCCTTCCCTTCCCCGCCCCTCCATCCAACCCGTTGAAGTTGTATTTTAGTTGCTAACCTAAAGAGCGTGTGTAACACACGTTTCGCATAGCCTATAAGTATTTATTCAAACACTTAAGTAACTAAAAACAAATCCGAAGTGCAAAATGAAAAATAAATAGCATCAAAGTTCACAATTATGCTGAAAGACAAACTGTGCTATCAGCTTCCACTTTATTACTGTAAATTGTGTAATATTAGCAACAACAATGGGCACATAAACACACACTGACACTGATTCTCTCGCCTTCGCCTTCGCCTTTAGCTGCATTTGTTTCCCAGTCGTACCTGCGACCATGCTGTGTAGCCTGAAAAGATCAGTGGGTTATTCACATAAGAATTAACGCTGATCGTTGGGAGACAGATCATATCCAAAGTACCTTTAGGCTCAGCTGTGTCGTTTGTTACATTTTCAACAACAATAAGCGACTCTCTCACCTTCGCCTCTGGGCTGCACTAGACTACCCAGCAGAACTCGCGGACGTGACACCATCATCGTTTAACGGTGATCGTTAGCAGCAGCTCTTTGCGTAACGAGCGCCTATGTAAATTTTAAAAATTTCTGCTAGGTCGTCTCTCTTTCACTCTTCCTCCCTTCCTTTCATTCTGCTGTACAAACGCGCACTCGTGCTACTTCCGCATTCGCGGCTTCAATTGTAGGCGGCTGGCGCGCGACTTTGAAGCGTTTTACTGGCGTTTTGTGCGCGATTAGCGTTTTGTATTTCCGTTTTGCGCGGCTCGTTGACATTGCAATTGTCTGTAATCAATGTGCAATTAATCTAACAGACCCCCAGACGGGGCCGGGCCTGGCTGAGCTAACGGGTATTTTGTTATTGCTATTGTACTTATAAGTATGCTTTGTCGTTGGACTTGTGTTTTATTTATAGTTTTGCAATGTCAGGCAGAATCTTTGTGAATGGGCGGGCGGTACCTAGGGGCGACAGCTGTTAAGCTTATTAACAGCTGCTTTTACATAGTGCCGTTATAATTATGATAGATCTGTGTGAACAGAGCAATAAGATATATATAACGATAAGTCATGAAACGTTTGTTTTCGTTTCGTTCTATGTAAGGCCAAGGCTGCTAACTAAACAAAAGCTCACAATTGCGACTTCACTGGCAACAATTGACATTTGAGGTCAGCAGTGCTAATGGCGATGGCGATGATGATGATGATAATGATTATGATGATGCTGCTAACTGGCGTGACTATATAAAGTCAGCGCCAACAAGTTCATCGAATGAATCACAATACACAATGATTGATATCGATATGAAAACAAAATTGGAAATTTGGTTGTATTTCAAAAATTTACACATTACTCAATTCCAAAACTTTGGCCGCCGTCGATTTGGCTCAAAAAGGCTGCCCTTAAGCGTTGTATCAACGCCGTGTGTTGTATTCGGCTTATAGAAGAGTATAGAAAGCGTAAAATCCATCTCGGGCATAAAAGCTGGAAAGTGATCCAAAACAGATATATTATGGAAGTACAGCAGGCCCTGTAAGACAGGCATAGGCATTAATTAGGCACAATTTTAATTGAATCTCCTTTCATACCTCACTTATGGGACACAGTTTGGCCAGATTGCTGTCCTTGATCATGTTCTGATAGAAGAAGTACGCCAGTTTATTACGCATGACGCCATCGAGCAGCAGCTTGCAGGCATCAAACGCTGAATCGAAAAACACCATTTCGGTCTTTTGAATTGGGCGTGGCACCACCAGCTTGTACTTCACCCACACCTCGTTAACGGGCTCAGTCAACTGGATATCGGAGCTAAGATTGCCATCCTCCTGAATGCGACAGCTCAAGTTGCTAATAATGGGCCAGAGGTTCAGGCAATCGAAGCTGTGCCACTTCAGCACGTAGCGCGATCGCTAAAATGTGGCAATAGGCTAAAAACAGTTAACAGTTAAAAAGGACGCCTCTTGTAGGGACTTACGCGTGCTGCGTGCAAAGGTGCCCAGAAGGTAGCCAGAAGCCAGAGGGTAACCAAGAAGCGACGGCGACAGATTTCGTTCATGTCCATTAGGGAACTAAATGAACATTTAATTTTTGTTGGCTACTTGATATAATAAATGTGATTAGCATAACGAGCAAAATATAGCAGTAATTATGAATACAATTAGTTATGCTTAAATGAATATGCGAACGGGCGAAAACATTTGGATTTTAATTATGCATGTTTTAGGGCCACGTGACGTATGCGTAATAAATGCGATCAATTCTGTCACTGTCTCTTTTTTCAAATGATTTGTGTAACTGATTAAGGATCACAATATATGGCATATTTATGCCTTGTCCATGCCCATGATTTATTGACGGCTCCGAAACTGACAAAAAACAAAAAACAAAAAAGTAACCGGCACAAAACCCCAATTCAAATATCGCATGCAATTTGTCAAATTGCGTTGCGGGTACAATGATTTTTTTGTTTTCTTGATCTCTGCAAATGCGCAAATATTCATTGCGAATAGAATTTATTATTGGCAAGTGCAGTCAGCGTCGACAAATTACCTTCAATATTTTCTGTGCTCGTTGTTTTAGTTTTTCTATTTATTTTTATTTTGTTTTTTTGCTGTTAATGAACTAAATTTGCGTTCGCATTTGTGGGCGTCATTCTGTAACACATTGTGAATTTCACTTGGGCGAGCCACTTGTGGTGCCGCTCTAAATACAATTATCAGCTAATTTACTTAAGAACAGACCCACAAATATATGTATCTATGTGTATCAGTAGGTGTGCGTGTGTGTGTGTGTGTGTGGGCTACAAGGATGCGAGCTGCGTTTGCGTGCTGCAGCAGACGAGACATTGTCGCTAGAGCTAATTGAAAGTCAATAAATGCTATGAAAATTAATTAAAAATGCACACAATTGCAACCTTGACATTGAAATCGAATGACAGACAACAAACAGAATAACAGCAACAACAACAACAACTATGAAAAGTTCACGTATGAAAGTTGGCAGCGTGTTGGCTGCGGGCTGCCGGGGCGGGACTGGGACAAACTTGGCACGCATTGTGAGCGGATTTTCACTGCAAAACAGCAGCAGCAGCAGCAACAACAACAACAAGAACAACCAGAATATCAGCAAATGCAACAACAACAACAACAACAACGACAACAATGTTGTTGCATTGTAAAAAGTGAGCGGCATAGCAAACAGTTTGCCGGTCCGTTTCTCAATTTATCAAATGCATAAAATAATAGGCCTAGCCGCATAATTTAATGTCGCGATTTTAGAAGGCCGCACGGGCTTCTATGCATATGCAGATTAATCACGATGCAACAACTACAATTGCTGGCCATATGCATGAGGCATGTGGCATGTGGCATGTGTCACGCAACACAACCGGACAATGCAAATCTAAAGTTGATGCACCCGATAAAGCTAACCCCAACAAAACAAATGCGACACTGCATAAAGCTATCATTATAATATTTAAAGCATTTTTTTTTTAATTTTAGAAATAACTGAAATACTTATTTTAAGTTTACTCAGTTTTCAATGATTCATGATTTTTGTTCAACTTTACATTGAACTTGTCCTTACTTCGTTTTTTGTTTTCGTCTGACGAACACTTCTAGTAATTTCCGTTGCTTTTAAATTGCGTTTCTATAGAAATCTTGCTGCGTGCAATTGGAATGTAAATAGCTTAATTGCTTTATGCTACAAATCAAATAAACAATAGCGATGTGGGTAAGGTTTAGCTAAGATACAATTTAATTGAATTATTATTATTAATGGAACTGTTTTGAAGTATTGCATTTTTAAAGGCATAACTGAGTAAATGCTTAATTTAATAAATATTCATGCATTAAATATAAATTATAAAATTCATTTAATCTTTTAATAAGCTCAGGGAATACATCCAATTTGTAACCAATGAGAATAACAGATAGCCAGAAAGACAGACAGAGATAGAGGGGAAAAAAGAAAATGTTTTATCAAACTAAAATAATATTTACATGAGTTGATAAAAATTTCAATTGCTTAGAAGCATAGGCGCCACGCACTTCAAAATGAAGGTTAAGCCTAATGAGACATGCCTTTAATATACTTTTGCTCAAGCACATATCAAAAATTAACAAATGGGCAGCACTTTCCACGCTCGCTTCCTAAAATAATACTTATTTGAGTTGATGAAAATTGCAATTGCTTTGAAGCCACGCACTTCAAAATGAAGGTTAAGCCTAATGAGACATGCCTTTAATATACTTTTGCTCAAGCACATATCAAAAATGCACAAATGGGCAGCACTTTCCACGCTCGCAGCTGGGTGGCAGTACTGCGATTACGCAATTTGGCAACACTTTTATTTAAAACTGTCAGCCCATAAATGTTAAGAGTTTAAAGTGCCTGAAATGTGCTTTACATTATTGCCATGTCTTTCATTATGGCCATAACATTTTGCACATACCGAGACCAACCCACACACGCGGACTGTGCGTTGTTACCGCAGCACGCACCAAGCACCAGGCAGCAAGCGTGGCCAGTCCCAGTCGCAGTCGCAGTCGCAGTCGCAGTCAGTCAGTCTCTTGGAGGCATTCACAAAACGTTTGCGGGCCCAAAATGTGATTTTAATTGCACAACAATTTTCAGTTGGCTTTTAAATGCGAGCCGAGCCGGGCCCAGTTCTACATAGGCCTAAAGCGTGTTTTATGGGGCTGTTCTCGTACTGCCTGCTTGACACATGTAACCCAATTCTGTCGCTGCGAGAGAGAGCGAGAGCGAGGGAGAGAGCGAGGGCGGAGTAGTGAAAGAAAGAGAACGTATGAGAGGCGTTGCACTTGCAATTTTTCAACATAATTGAACGGCGAACTTTTAATTAAAAGCGTGCTTTTAAAATAAATAAAATATGCGCACAAATATTCAACGAAAAAAAAAGAAATATGTAACGCCAATTGTGGAGGTCAACTGCAGTCAGCCAACCCCAAGACGGAGCCAGAGAGACAGACAGACAACCTGTTCCACACACTCTCGGATCAATCTGCCAGTGGCCAGCGTTGGCAGCGGCTTCCTGGCCAGTGCGCGCTTTCTGATTACAATACAATAAATTGTGCTTGGGGTCTGTCAAGGTTGCGATATTGTCTGAGCTTCATTAATGAAGTGCCGAAACCTGGGCTCGTTGCCGGCACTGGCTGCGACGCAGGTCCAGGCCTGAGCCTGAGCCTGAGCACTTGCAACCACATGCAGCGGGCAACCGGTTCAAGTAGATGCCACTGGCAGCTTAGTAGCGCTTAATGCAGGTGGTGATTGCAACTTGTGGCCAGACAAAAGGCGCTCAGCTTCAAGGTTGCAATGCCCTTGGCTGACAAGCCAAGTCGGGCAACAGGCTCCTCCGAGCTGAACCTGTTTGCCCGCTCTGCACTAGCAAAAGGTTCTGGGTTATGCAACAATCCCTGTTTCTTTCCATCCGTTGTTCTCATGACCCAATTTTCAGACAGGCGCACCTAAAATTGGCAAAGTCTGTCATTTAATTTAACCATCATAAATCGCATTATCTAAAAGGACTTAATGCCTGTTGGGAAATGTTAAATATGGCTTTACGTTAAGCCACAAATTACAACTGCGTCTCAACAACAATTTGTGCCTGCCACATGGACAATAACTGTGCTTCCACGTTTCTCTGCTCTTAACATTGAACTTGGGGTGAACAGCGTCAAGTTTAATATTTTATTAATATTTATAAACATTTTTTTTTGGGTGCTGTCGTGCTTACGTTAGCCAGTTGCCAGTTGCCCAGCCATTGCCTCACGACGTTAACTGTCATGCAATCTAATGAGGTGATTCACATCTTGCGGAAAAATACTTGTATAAATAATATGAATAGCATAAAGTAAAATATAGTATACCTATAAATTATGTAAGTACCTATATGACAAAAAATAAATTTATATGCAAGCGAATTCATAAATATATGCTGAAGAGCTATCTACATAAATATAGCAAGTATGACTGCGCTAGTCGTGAATGGCCGACTAGCAGATACCCTAAGCATCCTTTACTAAAGTTCAAACTACTTCTTAAACATACATATATACCCAAAAACGCCCGATCTTAATCAATATTTCAGGGAATGAATATGGCTTTCAAATGTGTGTAAATAGGTATCAAAAACATAAATATATGTAAAATCCACACTTTTCAATTTTATTTAAATGTGTTGACCTATAAATTTTTTGAAATTATTTTGACTTGCTCGGGCAACAAGCAGACCTAGGTTTCTAATTCTTTAAAAGCATTAATTAATTATGCCTTTAAACTTAAATTTTCTTTTCCGTTTTCTCAACATCTGATTTACATTTGTGGCACTTCCTATTTGAGAAAAGAAGCCTCTCGGTTCTCTCGGCTTATTTTATGGCTGCTGTAATTATAAATACATCAAGTTTAATTAGGATATTTTTTCCAAGACTAACTCTTTGTCCATAAAAAAACTCGTTTTTTCCACTGTTTTGCTTTCGTATAAGCTGTTCAATTTAATTATTCGCTGCAGTTCGACGTACTTTTCAAATTACAAATTTACAAAATATTTTTGTGTAATACTTGCAAAAAGTTATACAATTTTGGCAAGAGTTCTGCTCACTTTCTTAATCATCAATATATTGGGTTATTTCTATATTGTTTATTCGGTGTTTGCTTTGGGGATTTCCTACACAATCGTTGTTAATTTATATACTTATTGTTATTAAACAAACTGGTAACCAGCTTGTGTCGCAGCTTCAGCTTCCACCTACCTCAATGTATACAATTTCGATGCGATTTGATTTGCTTCGCTTCGCGTAGGCTCAAGTGAACAATTCCCCCAAAAAAACATAATTTTTGTTTAACGCGCGACGCGTGCAAAATGTCAACAGAAGGACAAACAACAGCAAAAATTAGAGTGTAAACCAGCTGCAACAACAAAAACAACAACAGCAGCAATAATAGCAATAAGTAATAATAATTATAATGCTCCGACCGCTGATCATAAGCAGATCGACAACGACAGCGCCTGGATGACCCTGGGCTACGGCAGCAGCTCCAAAGAGTGTAGGCATAGCAACAGCAACAACAACAATAACAACAATAACAACAATAACAACAAT